TATGAAAAACTTTTGGCCTATTTGTCAACCATGCCTCTACCCAGGAAAAATTTCTACTCCTATTCCATGTGCCTTAAGTTTCCTCAAAAGTCTCTGATGTGGAAGTCTATCGAAAGCCTTACTGAAGTCCATATACACAATATTATATTCATTACCATGATCTACCTCCTCAAACACCTTAGCAAAAAAAGTTAGTCAATTCGTAAGACAGGAACACCACTTAGTAAAACCGTGTTGAAATTCATTTATCAATTTATGCCTATCAAGATGGCTACAAATTGCCTCTGCAATTATTGATTCCATAAATTTTACCTCTATGGAGGTAAGGCTTATTGGTCTATAGTTCGAAGCTAAGGAGCTGTCACCTACCTTGTAAATAGGTATTACATTTGCCATTTTCCACTTGTCAGGCACTATGCCAGTTTGCAGTGATATGTTGAAAAGATTAGCCAAAGGTTTGTTATGCCCCTCTTTACATTCCTTCAAAACCCTTGCAAACAATGCATCATGGCCTGGGGATTTGTTAGGTTACTGCAATCGTGCATAGTTTATTATCGTCCTGTTCTACGTAATTTATTATTTCTGGAATTTCGTTAGTATTTTCCTAATAAAAACTGAGAGGAAGTAAGAATTGAAAATTTCACACATATCCCTATCATTGTCAGTGATCTGACCTGAGCTACTCTTAAGTGGGCCTATCTTGTCTCTAATCTTACTTCTGTATACCTGAAAAAACCCTTTGGGCTAGTCTTCGAATCCCTTGCGACCTTAGCCTCATCATCCCTTTTTGCTTGTCTTATTCTTTTTTTTATTACTCTCTTTAATTGAATATATTGATTTCTTAACTGCCCATCCCCTCTTTTGATATCTCTAAAAATGCCTCTCTTTTGACTAATGAAATATTTTAATCTATTGTTCATCCATTTGGGATAATTTTTGTTGGATCTAATTTCCCTACTCGGAACAAAAGCTGACTGAGCAGCTTGAAGCATGCTCTGAAAAACGTCATATTGACACCCAACACCAGCTACCTGATCCATAGTCAGGAAATCCCAATTTAGCCCACCCAGGTAATTTTTCAGTCCCATGAAATACGCCAAGCGGAAGTCTGGGACAGAGACTTAATTGCAGTTTACTGGGTAATTTCATAATTATTAATTAATGAATATTTGTTGGCAAGAACCACGTCAAGCAAATTGTTTCCTCTAGTTGGTTCAGTCACAAACTGTTTTAAAAAGCATCCCTGAACTGTATCAAGAATATCACTAGGCTGAAGATTTCCTGTCAAATTGTTTCAATCAATTTGTCTAACGTTAAAATCTCCCAATATCACAACATTTTCATATCTAGATGCCTTATGAATTTCGTCCCATAGCAACTTACTTCACTCTCTATCAAGGTTTGGGGGCCTATATATCACACCCAAAATTAATTTTTCATACCCCTCGAGAAACTGTAGCCAAATAGATTTTGTGTCCGATGTTTCTAATCTTATATAATGTCTATCATAACAATTTAAATTATCTCTAACATACATTGCCACTCCAACACCCTTCCTATTGGCCCTATCAGTGTGGAATAGTTCATAGCCCTTTATGTTGCATTCAGAAGGCATTTCTCTATCCTTCAAGTTGAACCAGGTTTCAGTTATAGCAATAATACCTATATTACCTGCACTTGCGAGTAATCTTAGCTCATCTATCTTATTTCTTAGACTCCTACTATTTGTATAGTAAACCTTAAGGGAGCTAGTCACTCGTTGCCCTCTACTATCTCTCTTTGTTTGTTGATCAGTTCCTTTGCCTTTATTAGGAATTTTATTTTGAATATTGTCTTTTAAACATATCTCAGAGGTATCCTCTATAATCTATCAGTTTAAAGTCCTAGACAAGTCATCAATGGCCCTCTCAATCGATGTGGCTAATGCAACCACTCCAGCCCCAGAGAGATGAACCCCATCCCTTGCACACATATCACGTTTGCCATAGAATTAGTTCCAGAAGAAAATCATGGAACCGCATCTTGGTAAGGGGCATACAAAAATTATGCACTGAAACCCCGTATACAAGCCACTCAGTAATAAATGGGTGATCAATTTCTGCCATTTTGAGGTCCATTTCAGGCCACTTTCATCTGAAACTAACCACAATATTCTTTATTTCCACTAGTATGTCTTCTGATCTACCTACTAATACCAAGAAACAGCCAATAAAATTAAGAAAAAAAACCGTAGACAATGCCCAGAAGTCCCTCTTTTAATCAAAATACAAGGTCAGACGTTAGTTATTTTCATCATACACAGCATTGACAGGATTTTCTTCATACTGCTCATGATCACTGTACAAACCCATTCTGTCTTGTCAACCAAAATTTGCCAATCACAGCAAACTTGAGGGTTCTATGAATTATGCAGAGATGTATGTGAGCATTATCTCTACAACTCTGAGGTATACATTGAATGAGAACAGTGTTTTATCTAAGTATTTTATCGAGTGAAAGTATTAGAAAAAAATGTTGCACATATAACTAAACTTACCAAGATAATGGAGAGAACTGAGGAGAGGTTCAGGCACTGAAGCAACAGGGAATCCATGTTCTCTAAGGAAACTTCTAACAGTATTAGACACTTGTTGTGGCCAGTCATTTAGAGACTCTTCTGTTAGAACATCCTCTGGTGTCATCATGCAATCTTTAACCTGTGACAATAATAGTTGAATCAGAAGACTACTCTGCTAATTTTATTTACCATTATTATAAACTAAGAAAATTGTGGCACCTACACTTCTCAGCTTCACATCCTCACTGTCAGATCTGGCAGCTCCCTATGAGGCTAGAAATAAGTCCCTTAGCTTCGCTTAAATTTTCTGTAAACTGTATGTAATATAAATATTTATGGTTGTTTAACATTTATATTAATTAAGAGTGTCATACATACACTAGTACATCAGCAGCACGGCAGCAAGAACTTTCCTAATCTATTGTACAGGCAGCCAAGGCATCCTAGCACCTTTTGATGCAGCAAAGACACCCAAGCATTTAAATATGTGGGACTTTTTAATCATTAATCAACTTAAAACCAACCAAAAGACATATTTTCGTCAAACCCAAGGATTTCCGTTTTCACCCCACCATCAGCCTCAATCATCTGAAGCAGCAGTCAATGGCCAAGGGTCAGGACAATAAAAGAAGATCAAGAAACCAATACAAGACTCAGAATAACATAGGTGAGTAAAGTATTGCTGTAGCATTTCTTATTTGCGAGTTAGGAGGGCGCTCCCCCCACACCCCCCTCACAACTCTCACCAATCAATACCAAACTTAGACATTACTATCCCATATGATGAAGACTGCCACTTCCTTTGATTTGATGCAGTCCTTGTAGAACACCGAAGGCTGCCAAAAGTCTTCAAGGACCAAGGTGAGAGAATAAAAATGCTAACAACAGACCTGTGAAGTCAGAGAGAAAATTTATGGACTTTCCAAGATTTCCACCGACGGTTTGTGTTTGGTGCTTTTATTACATGTCTAGAGCTGCACAGTACTATTAATCTTCTTAATGAAACCCCTAGAAGAACCTTAACAAAACCATAAATTGGACATAGTTTTATGATAGCTTTGGTCTATAAAGTCCTTTCCTCTCAGACATTATGCTAGATATTACTTGTTGTGGCGTACTTTTTTTGTTTGAATGCTATTATTATATCGCCTTATGTTACATTAGATCAATTGTGATAGGTAAATAAGCCTTATAATTGATATAAGCGTGAGTATAGAACATTTTGTTGGCTGCTGTGTCTCGGTCATGTCAGCACTTATTCCCATGGGAGGTTCCTGAATGGTTCCCAGACCATATTCGCTCCGCCCACTCCGCCATGATCTTAAATGGTGAATTCGTATTACATTAGACGTAAAGATATAAGAAATTTATAAAAAAAAAACACGGAAAAAATATCATGTCAGCGGGCATGCTCGCAAGGCGCTGTCACCATGCATGTTATAGATGAGTATAATTCCTTGTAGAAACGTCGTATAATGGTGATAATTATACCAGTGTTGCCAGAAAGTTCGGCTATTTTCTAGTAAGAATAACTGAATTTTCGTATCTTTTTTCGATTTTTTTACTCCGCGCGCCGCACGTGTCATAGGCCCCCTAATTAGGCCTTAAGAATAATTTAGAAAGGTTTCAATCAATGTTAAATAATATTAGTATTATTAGGAATTATGTCAGGCGTATCTGAGAGACAGCTAAGGAAGGAGTAGCAATAATGTTGAAGGATGAGTTATGGAAGAAGAAAAGGGAATATAAATGTATAAACTCAAGTATTCTGTGGATTAAAATAAGAGTCGGATGCAAAAAGTTGGTTAAAAATAATTGCTTATGCACATGGACAAGAGAGGAGTGAAGAGGAATGAGAGAGATTTGGGGAAAAGTTGGGTGTTTAGGGAATTTTAAACCAAGTGAAAGAGTAATTGTGGTAGGGGACATGAATGGCAAAATGGGAGAAATGGTTGCAAAGGTCTTGATAGGTAAGTTTGGGTTGCCAGGGGTAAATGATAATGGGGGGCTTTTGATTGAACTTTGCATAGAAAGGGTTTGGTAATAGCTAATACATATATTAATTACTAAGGATAAATAAGTAAATAAGATATGATATAGAGCATAATGACTAGTTTGTTAAACTATGTATTAATAGATAAAATTCTGACGAGTAGACTTCAGGATGTGCATGTTTATAGAGGAGCCACAGATATATCAAATAATTTTTTAGATGTGGCTACAGTGAGAGTAAAAGGTAGATGAGATACAAGGAAAATAAAAGCAGCAAGTAAGAGAGAAGTGAAGGTTTATAAACTAAAAGAGGAGGCAATTAGGGTAAGATTAAAATATATAAGCAACTACTGGTAGAAAGATGGGCTAGTGAGAGTATAGGCAATGAAAGTGAAGAAGTATGGGGTAGACTTAAAAATGTAGTGTTAGAGTGTGCAGCAAAAGTGTGTGGTTACAGGAAAGTGGGTATGAGAGAGACGAGAAGCGATTGGTGGAATGAGGAGGAAAAGAGAGTAGTAAGATAGAAAAAGTTAGCATATGAGAGGTTTTTACAAAGTAGAAATGATACAAGGAATGAGGAGTGTGTGAAGAAAAAAAGGGAAGCTAAAAGAGTGGCGAAGGAATGTAAAATAAGATCAAATGAAAGAGCGGGTAGGATGCTGTCAACAAATTTTGCTGAAAATAAGAAAAAAGTTTTGGAGTGAGATTAATAAGTTGAGAAGACCTAAGGAACAAATAAGTTTGACAGATAAAAATAGAAGAGGAAAGTTATTAGATGGAGAGTTGGAAGTATTAGGATGATGAAGGGGATATTTTGAGGAACAGTTAAATGTTGATGAAGACAGGACAGCTATGATTTTATGCCTTGGTCTGGGAGGTATAAGATCTTTAATGAGCAAGGAAGAGCCAGATGTGAGTAAGGAAAAGGTGAGTGAGACTGTGGGTAGAATGAAAGATATTAAAGCAACTAGGATTGACTGGCAAAGAGCATGCATAGTTCCTTCGCATAAAGGTAAAAGAGACAAAAGAGAGTGTAACAATTATAGAGGAACAAGCCTGTTGAGCAACAGACATAGTAGGCAGTGCAATATGCCACCAAATGAAAAGCAGGGGTGTCATGTGAACGCTAAGAGAACACAGCAAGTGTCAAGGACCCGAGACTTTTCAACTGACTAGCAACGTACATAAAAGGGATTATCAAAAGGCTCCTAGATATCTTCAGGAGGATGCTGGACAGGCATCTAAAGTCAGTATCTGACCAGCAGGGCTGTGGGTCGTACAACTGCATGTATCGGGCAGTAACAGCCTAGTTGATACACTGCAAGGCGTAGTCATGCACTGAGCCACAAGGCCATTGACCCCTGGAACATTCACTAGGCATAATCCAGGTAACTAAGTATACCATACAGATATATCTCTACCTCGTCCACCATGTTCCTCTCCCAACTTCATATTTCATGAATACTAACATTTACCCGGATTAAATCTCATATGCAGTCAGTATGATAATGAATATTTCTCTGGAAGTAACTGTCTATACTACAAAGGAATTCAAACAAAAAATATTTTTCAGCAATGCCAAGAATGTCCAGTAGAACCACAGTTACATGTCAGGTGAGGTTCTAGGCTACTACCATAAAGTAAGTTTTTTTTTTCGCTTTCAACTGTACTTTAATACAAGTCTAATGAAATGTTTACACTATCATATATTAAGTGATTAACAGAGCTAGGCCTAAAAGACAAATAAAAAAATTAAAATGCAAATACAGTACACCCATTACTTATCATAAAATATTTTCGTCCTTAGCTTATAGTGAGTCGGGAGTAGTATTTATTGTCGGAAGTCTGGAGGAGATAAGATGATTCTATTATGAAGGGCAAATGCTGTAATATGCCTTATTTTCTTCCCATCGAAAGATTAAGTTGGTAAGTTGTGAGCATTTAATATCTGCCTTATATTCCCCCCATCCATTCTTTGTTGAATGTCATTTCATTCAGTTAATTATTATTTGTGTGTCTTCAGTAAATAAGTAAATTACTTTTGAGATATTTGACGAAAATGCCGCGAAGTATATTACTTGGGAGCAATTTTTTTTTTTCATATATGATAGCAAGTGAGGCTTCTTATGAGTAAATGAATATGGAAGAAATGTTTTTGTACAGTTACCCTCAGTGATATACACAGTTTGTCTGGACAGACAGAGAGTCCTCGCATTTTTATGGTTCACTCCTATACGACCACCCAGCTAACATACTCCTATACGACCATCCAGCTAACATACTCCTATACGACCATCCAGCTAACATACTCCTATACGACCACCCAGCTAACATACTCCTATACGACCACCCAGCTAACATACTCCTATACGACCACCCAGCTAACATACTCCTATACGACCACCCAGCTAACATACTCCTATACGACCACCCAGCTAACATACTCCTATACGACCACCCAGCTAACATACTCCTATACATCACCCAGCTAACATACTCCTATACGACCACCCAGCTAACATACTCCTATACGACCACCCAGCTAACATAATCCTATACGACCACCCAGCTAACATACTCCTATACGACCACCCAGCTAACATACTCCTATATGACCACCCAGCTAACATACTCCTATACGACCACCCAGCTAACATACTCCTATACGACCACCCAGCTAACATACTCCTATACGACCACCCAGCTAACACTCCTATACGACCACCCAGCTAACATACTCCTATACGACCACCCAGGTAACATACTCCTATACGATCACCCAGGTAACATACTCATACGACCACCCAGCTAACATACTCCTATACGACCACCCAGCTAACATACTCCTATACGACCCCAGCTAACATACCCTATACGACCACCAGCTAACATACTCCTATACGACCACCCAGCTAACATACTCCTATACGACAACCCAGCTAACATACTCCTATACGACCACCCAGCTAACATACTCCTATACGACAACCCAGCTAACATACTCCTATACGACCACCCAGCTAACAAAACTCCTATACGACCACCCAGCTAACATACTCCTATAGACCACCCAGCTAACATACTCCTATACGACCACCCAGCTAACATACTCCTATAAAGACCACCCCTAACTACTCTATCGACCAC